CTATTATTATTGTCTTTATTATTATTATTATTATTATTATTATTATTGTTATTATTATTATTATTATTATTATTATTATTATTATTATCATTATTATTATTATTATTATCATCATTATTATTATCAATATTATTGTTATTACTATTATTATCATTATTACTATTATTATTATTATTATTATTATCATTATTATTATTATTATTATTATTATCATTATTATTATTATTATTATTATTATTATTATTATCATCCTTGATATTCTTGTTGCTGTTGTCATTGTCATTATTATCATTATTACTATTGTTATAATCATGATCGGTATTGTTGATATTATTGATATTGATATTATTACCATTATCACTATTTTTACTATTATCTCTATTGTTATGGTTATAATTGTCATTATCCTTCCCACTATCATTATCCTCGTTATGACATCCTCATCAACATCATTATATTATATCGCTATAATTTCCTTCAGTACTGAAATTTCCATCATTCCTGAACATTCAAAATTTTCATATTTCATGAATGCAAATATTCGCATGGTTGTTTTTGCATTATGGCTCTTATGCACTTCCGCTTTTATACATTCGGAAAATTCATTTATTGTCATTATATAATTTTCTACATTTCTAATATACATAATTATATATTTTGTTACGTTAGTTATACGTGTATGAGTCCTTTGTGTTATGTGTTATTACATACATCGTTATACACTATATGTGCAGTATGTTAAATCCCCTTCGAGTGTATTCATATGAGTTATTATACATTATATATAAACCAGTTGAGCATACATAAGTCCTTCTATTCTATACATACTTATATACATCTTTATTCATTGTATATGCATATTTACATGTGCATGAATCTTTGTGATATACATTGATACATGCATTATCATCTATTATGCATATTTACATGTGGATGAACTCTTGTGATATACATTAATACATGCATTATCATTTATTATGCATATGTACATGTGGATGAACGCTTGTGATATACATTGATACATACATTTTCCATTAATTTACATTCACTTGTACCACGCACTTGTTGTACTCCTTGTACATGTAATGATATTTAACTTATATGTTGTATTCTTTCCTTGTTTGACCTTGACCATATTGATTAATTTTGATTGTGTCTAATATCTTAATCATCATTTCTAATTCCTTCACTTTCACTTTTTTTTTTTTTAAGTATTCAGATTAGCATATTTGTGTTTTATATTCCCCTTGTGTACTTGCGCTAGATATGACTTCCTCATTTTTCAATTTTGTTCTGTTTCCTGAAGCTGAAAGGCCTTCGAGCTGTCTTCGCTGATGATTAGGGTAATCTTGTCATAGTTCCTCGCCCTTTTTGCTCTCTTTTAATCTGTCTGTCTGTCTGTCAGTCAGTCGTCTGTCTGTTGTTTGTTTGTCTGTTTGTCTTCCTGTCTGCCTGCCTGTCTATCTGTCTGGCTTTCTGTCTTTCTGTCTGTTTATCTGTCTGTCTGTCTGTCTGTCTCTATCTCTCTCTGTCACTCTCTCTCTCTCTCTCTCTCTCTCTCTCTCTCTCTCTCTCTCTCTCTCTCTCTCTCTCTCTCTCTCTCCCTCCCTCTCTCTCTCTCTCTCTCTCTCTCTCCCTCACTCGCTCTCACACACAAACACACTTAATCAAAGTCCACACACAGAACACTCAAACTTTACACCCTTCCCCGTTCCCCATCCCCTCCACTCCACTCCCCTCCCCTCTCCCTCTCCCTCCCCCGATGAGGAACAAACACGAAATCCCCCCTCCCCCTCCTTCCCCTCCTCCCCGTTACCCACTGACCCCCTCCTCCTCCTTCCCCTCCTCCCCGTTACCCACTGACCCCCTCCTCCTCCTTCCCTTCCTACCCGCTACCCACCCCTCCCCTTCCCTGCGCCGTGTTTAAGACTTCACACAAGCTGTTCCAGAGATCGTCATGCAGTGGACGAACCTCCCTTATTACAGGCCGCTGGAGAAGGGGGGCAGACGGAGGGGGGGGGGGGGTGGAGAAAGAGAGGGGAGGAGGAAAGGGAGGGAGGGAGGGAGAGAGAGAGGGAGAGAGAAGGAGGTAAGGGAGGGAGGGAAAGAGAGAGGGAGGGAGGGAGAGAGGAGGAGGAGGAAAGGGAGGGTGGGAGGGAGGGAGAGAGGGAGGGATGGAGAGAGAGAGGAGGAGGAAAGGGAGGGAGGGAGGGAGAGAGGGAGGAGGAGAGAGAGGGAGGGAGAGAGAGAGAGAGGAGGAGGAAATGGAGGGTGGGAGGGAGAGAGGGGAGGAGAGGGAGGGAGGGAGGAAGAGAGGGGAGGAGGAGAGAGAGGGAGGGATGGAAAGGAGGAAAAGAGGTTACTGATAGGAGAGAAAAAGCGTTGGCGGGAGGGAGGAAAGGAGGAGATAGAGGAATAATGGAGGAAGAAGAGGAAAGGGAGGGAGAGAGATGAAAAGAAGGAAGGAACGAGGGAGGGAGGAAAGAGACAAAGAAATGAGGGAGGTGGAGAGAGTGGTTTTGGCAGGAAGGAGAGAGAAGGAGAAAGGAAGAAGGAAGAAGGGGAAGGAGTTGATTGAGGAGAGAGGGAGGAGACACTTAGAAGAGACATACTGGGCGAGATAAGCAGCGAGCATTTGTAAACACATGTATACACTGACCCATTTATTAATAAAAGACATCGCCATTCCACAAAGCCACAAGAATCAACCAAAGCTATCTTTTACTGGATAGAACGCCCTCCTCGCAAGCACAGGAGGGTTTAGAGAGAGGGGGGCGGGGGTAGAGGGGGTGGAGGGAACCTAATGAGGTGAATTCTAGGTCTACCGCCTTGAGCTCGCTGGCGCCAGAGATCTGTTACGGACGCTCATGCGGGCTGGCTCCCCCCTACCTCCTACCCCCTCCTCTCGCGGCTCTCCCTTCCCCCCCTCCCCCCACTCTCTCCACCCACTCCCCCACTCCCCCACCCCCACCTCAGCGCCTCATGACTGCTCCCATTCATACAGAAAACCCCAGTGACCTCCCCCCCCAACCCCACGAACCTCACTCCAAGTCCGCAAAGTCAGCCACTCATTATGTCAACCCCACCAACTTTTTTATTTTATTTATTTATATATTTATGTATTTATTTATTTTTAAATACCGAAGGTTATTACAAGTCTAACTTTAAAAAAAAGCGGACATGAAAACCGCTCACACACACACACAGACAGACACACGCGCGCATCTCCCCTTCCCCCCCCCCCCCCCCCAACTTAATGCGAAGCGAGGCTGTGGGTACACATCTAATTTATCCACATTAATTAAGGAGTAATTAACGATCTCTCTTTTATTAGCATGCAGCCTGTGATCGCCGGGCCTGCCAAAGAACGTGTGCGAGACGGAGGCGGCCGAGCAGCTACTTTGTTCGATGCATCACAACAGACAGGCGCGGTGTTGCAATACGGCGGTTGATTAATAAATTACATCACGTCAAGGAAGATTATCAGCAGTAATGCCTCGCTTGTCTCAGAGGTCGCGCCAGAGAGGGGGTGGCTCTGCTCTGCGATTTTTTTTTTGTGCTTTTTTTTTGCTTTCCGTGTTTCTTGAGGGTGATCGTGTTGGTGTGTATGTAAGAGAGGAAGAGAGAGAGAGAGAGAGAGAGAGAGAGAGAGAGAGAGAGAGAGAGAGAGAGAGAGAGAGAGAGAGAGAGAGAGAGAGAGAGAGAGAGAGAGAGAGAGAGAGAGAGAGAGAGAGAGACTGACAGACAGACAGATATATAGACAGTTAGACTGACAGACAGATAGACAGACAGATATGTAGATAGATAGATAGACAGATATAAAGATCGAAAGATAGACAGAAAGATAAAACAAAAGAGAGAGAGAGAGAGAGAAAGGGAAGGAGAGAGATCATGCACGCCCATTCGAGTGCATGTGTTTATGCGTCTGCCTGAATCTGCTCATATCCGTGTATGCCGAATAGTGTGGCATTTCCCCTTTCTCTCAGTTGTTCAGTATGTCAGTAGTTCATCGTCTTCGGCTATGCGTGTTCAGCTGAGTTTAGCTTCGTCCTTAAGTTCAGTGTCCTTGCTCGTGCGTCCTTAATTGGGGTTCTCTCGTAGTTTGTTCCTGGTTGGGTGGACTTTCCTCTGTTGTCTTTGTTTTTTTAAAGATTATATTGCGTTTCTGGGGACTGTTTAGGTCTTTTAAGAGAGATATTTCGGTCTTTTACCTTTTTTGTTTTGATGTGTCTGGTTGATTGTTCGTGGTTGAAGCTCTCTGGTTGGGTGTTGCTGGATGGGTGTGATTGTGTGAGTCTGTGTGGTTGAGTGCCATAGGTTGAATTCCTTTGATTTTGGGTTACTGGTTGAAGCGCTTTGGTTGAGTGGGAGGTTCATTGATTTTCTCTGGTTGAGTGAGGTTGGATGTGTCGCTCTGGTTGAGTTGGATTACTTGTGGCTTAGTGGTTGAGTGGGATTGTTTGTCTCTATGGTTGGATGGGTTTCTTTCTGGTTGAGTATGTTTGGTTGTGTCTCCCCGGTTGAATGGATTTCTGTTTGGTTGAGTGGGGGGTCCGTTTTGGTTGAGTGGGCTTGTTTGTGTCTCTCTGGTTGAATGGGTTTCTTTGGGTTTCATTCTGATTAAGTGGATTTCTTTCTGGTTGAGTGGGTTTGCTTGGATTTGCTTGTGCCTCATCGTACTTACTCAACGTTAGTACATCTTAGTCTCTCTCTCTCTGTCCTCCCCCTGAATGACAATGTCCAACCAGCCAGCGCACTCAAGGTCGAAACAGCTGTTGATATTAGCCGGAAAAATCGACCTAATATGACCCAACTCTCCCCTCCCCTCCTTCCCCCACCTCTCTCTCTACCCCCCACACCCCCCACACACCCCCACACCCCCCACTCGACGCCCTGGCCTGCGAGGAAGAAATCATTACTCCGATATCGTGACAACAATTAATAATAAAGAGTCGGTTTCGGACTCCGTGCACCGCGAACGACGGCCGCTCGAGGTGCGGATGAACTCAGGTGGATACTACGTCGGCTGGGAGAATGGGGGGAAAGAGAGAAGAGGAAGAGGAGGAAGAAGAAGAAGAAGAAAGAAAGAAAGATGAGGAAAAGGAAGAAGAAGAAGAAGAAAGAAAGAAAGAAAGAAAGATGAGGAAGAAGAAGAAGAAGAAGAAGAAAGAAAGAAACGAAAGAAAAGGAAAAGGAAGAAGTAAAAGAAGAAGAAGAAGAAAGAAAGAAAGAAAGAAGAGGAAGAGGATGAGGAAGAAGAAGGGGAAGAAAGAAAGAAAGAGAAGAAAGAAGAAGAAGAAGAAGAAACAAACAGCTCAGGAATTATTCTCCTTTGCTTTATTGATGAGAATTTCGAGGGTCAGATACATACATACATACATACATAACTCATACATATACATATATCTGCACATACATACATACATACATACATATATACATACATACATACATACTTATGTATGTATGTATGTATGTATGTACATACATGCATAATTACATATATGAATACATACATGCATATGTGCAGACGAAGAGACAGATAGACTGACAGACAGGCAGAAAGACGGAGAAAAGAAGAGAGAAGGGAAATGTATTTATCATTCAATCTATCTACCTATCTACCTATCTCTATCTCTATCTCTATCTAATCTATATATTCTTTTCTATCAATCTATCTTCAGTCTATCTATTTATATCTATACATATCTATATACCTATCTATATCTATCTATTGAAACTTATCTATCTATCTATATCTATATCTATCTATCTATCTATACCTACTTTTCTATCTATCTATCTATCTATACCTACTTTTCTATCTATCTATCTATCTATACCTACTTTTCTATCTATCTTTCTATCTATATACATCATATTAACCTATCTATCCACATCATATCTATCCATCTATCTATCTATCAACAGAACAAGATCTCAAAGCACCATTCCTTCCCTTGAGTCTCCCCTTCCTTCCCAAGAAACAGGAAAGAAAACGGAAAAAAGGTCGCCGCGTGCCTTCCCTTCGCGACCATCAAGTATCGGAACTCCGCGCTGTGTGACGTCGGCGCTGCGGCCACAAGGTCATCTTGGCACGATAGCGCCTCAGAGGGGACGAAGAAGACCAGTTAGGCACCGTGCCAGGCCCTCTCGATATCATGGTCATCCAAATATATATATATTTTTTTTGGATAATGTTTTTTGCAAAAGTATTTTTTTTTTCTAATTCATATCAGTTAGATATTCATTAAAGGGTATTGATTTGTTTTATATTTAAGTAATTTTTTTTTTCAGTAAACATTTGTTCATAAAGCCCTAATTTCAGCAAAATATCAGCCAACCCCAATTCAGTAAACCCATATTTCAGCACAGCTCGTATCAGTAGACCCTTATTTCAGCAAAACCAAATTCAGTAAACCCTGAGCCCGAAGCAGTAAACCCCCTTTCAGAAGAGCCCGAAGCAGTAAACCCCCTTTCAGCAGAGCCCGAAGCAGTAAACCCCCTTTCAGCAGAGCCCGAAGCAGTAAACCCCCTTTCAGCAGAACCCGAAGCAGTAAACCCCCTTTCAGCAGAGCCCGAAGCAGGAAATCCCCTTTCAGCAGAGCCCGAAGCAGTAAACCCCCTTTCAGCAGAGCCCGAAGCAGTAAACCCCCTTTCAGCAGAGCCCGAAGCAGTAAACCCCATTTCAGCAGAACCCGAAGCAGTCAACCCCCTTTCAGCAGAGCCCGAAGCAGTCAACCCCCTTTCAGCAGAACCCGAAGCAGTAAACCCCCTTTCAGCAGAGCTCGAAGCAGTAAACCCCCTTTCAGCAGAGCCCGATGCAGTAAACCCCCTTTCAGAAGAGCCCGAAGCAGTAAACCCCCTTTCAGCAGAGCCCGAAGCAGTCAACCCCCTTTCAGCAGAGCCCGAAGCAGTCAACCCCCTTTCAGCAGAGCCCGAAGCAGTCAACCCCCTTTCAGCAGAACCCGAAGCAGTCAACCCCCTTTCAGCAGAACCCGAAGCAGTCAACCCCCTTTCAGCAGAACCCGAAGCAGTAAACCCCCTTTCAGCAGAGCCCGAAGCAGTCAACCCCCTTTCAGCAGAGCCCGAAGCAGTAAACCCCCTTTCAGCAGAGCCCGAAGCAGTCAACCCCCTTTCAGCAGAGCCCGAAGCAGTCAACCCCCTTTCAGCAGAGCCCGAAGCAGTAAACCCCCTTTCAGCAGAGCCCGAAGCAGTAAACCCCCTTTCAGCAGAGCCCGAAGCAGTAAACCCCCTTTCAGCAGGCCCCCAATTTCTCGCATGCCGGAGCCGTGGGGTCACCAAGCCGGGGCCCCGAATACCCGCTCCTCAAACAAGTACAGTGGTCGCGTGATGCAAATGATACAACAGTTATGAGCTGAACAAGCCTCCTTCCTCCTCCTCCCCCCCCCTCTCTCCCTTCCTTCCCTCCTACCTCTCCTCTCTTTCTGTCTCTCTCTTTATTTGTCTTTTCTTTTGGGTTTCTTTTATTATGTTTGC